GAGGCACTGGCACCAGGTGCGCGTCTTCCACCAGAACGTCTTCCCCAACTTCACGGTGGTGAACGTGGAGAAGCCGCCCTGCTTCCTGCGCAAGTTCTCGCCCGACGGCCGCTACTTCATCGCCTTCTCGTCCGACCAGACCTCGCTGGAGATCTACGAGTACCAGGGCTGCCAGGCGGCCGAGGACCTGCTGCAGGGCTACGAGGGCGAGATCCTGGCCAACGGCAACGACCAGCGCTCGGTCAACCTGCGCGGGCGGCTCTTCGAGCGCTTCTTCGTGCTGCTGCACATCACCAACGTGGCGTCCAACGGCGAGCACCTGAACCGCGAGTGCAGCCTCTTCACGGACGACTGCCGCTACGTCATCGTGGGCTCGGCCGCCTACCTGCCCGAGGAGCCGCACCCGCCCTTCTTCGAGGTGTACCGCAACAGCGAGTCAGTGACGCCCAACCCCCGGTCGCCCTTGGAGGACTATTCCCTGCACATCATCGACCTGCACACGGGCCGGCTGTGTGACACGAGGACCTTCAAGTGCGACAAGGTCATCCTGTCTCACAACCAGGGGCTCTACCTCTACAGGAACATCCTGGCCATCCTCTCCGTGCAGCAGCAGACCATCCACGTCTTTCAGGTGACGCCCGAAGGGACCTTCATCGACGTGCGGACCATCGGGCGCTTCTGCTACGAGGACGATCTCCTGACTCTGTCGGCCGTGTATCCGGAGGTGCAGCGGGACACGCAGACGGGGATGGCGAACCCCTACAAAGAGCCCTTCATCAACTCTCTGAAGCACCGGCTCTTGGTTTACCTGTGGAGGAGGGCGGAGCAGGATGGCAGTGCGATGGCCAAGAGGAGGTTCTTCCAGTACTTTGATCAGTTGAGGCAGCTCCGCATGTGGAAGATGCAGCTGTTAGATGAGAACCACCTGTTTATCAAATATACGAGTGAAGATGTGGTCACCTTGCGGGTGACAGACCCCTCCCAGGTAGGGCCCGTCCTCTCAACTGTGCAGTTACAAAAATAAAAACTGTCAGCTGCATTTCTGGTCCAAACGCTTTTTTCAGACTGAGTGGTAAAAAGGGAGGCTTGATTAGGGATAATTACGTAACTTGGATCCTCTTCTTGAAGATATTGAATGGTGCCTGTGGTATTTAATCACCGTGGTATTTCTTGCTGTTCATGATCTCTCAGATGCCGTGTAGACATTAGAAAAGCGTGCCGTTCATTATTCCTATTTCCCAGCAAACTGAGATCGTTCTCTGTTCTGCTTTGGGTGCGTTGTCTAGTTTGTTGTCACATTGTGGTAGCATTAGAGGTTTTAATCTGTATTGTGGTCTTACTATTTTGGGTATTTTAACAACCCAAAATGAAAGGATCTCTACTCTGAACAATGGTTTTAGTTTTAAATGTACCAAATGATGAGACTACTATTTTCCTTTCACAGACCCCTCTACACTTTAAAATTCTTGGTTAAGAATTACTTCATGCCAATCATCCGAAAAATAAATAAATAAATTAATGACATCCATTGCAGCCCTAAATACTGCACCTTCTTTCCACCATGGTATCTACACCTTTTGGTATCCAATCCCTGTTTCTGCTGCCAAAACTGTACATGTAGTTTGTCTTTAAAAATAGCTTCTTGTATCAGTCTCTTCAGTCCTCGGATAATCTTATTCTTGCCCCCTCTCCCATTCCCACCAGTTTGTTTCTTCTAAGGCAGTGCCAGAACTGAACAGTGGTTCAGAGGCAGTAATGCAAAGTAATATAACAAATAGACCATTTGAGAGGCCTACCACAATTTAGCCCTGCACCCTCCTGGAGTGCTGCTCTGACCCCTTCCCCTGCCTGATCTGCTGCTCTGCTTTCTTTTCTCTGACCTGTGCTCCCTGCTGGACCTGCTGCTCTGCTTTCTGCTCCCTGCCCTAGCTGCCCCTTTGCTGCCTGTCTTCTTGGTCTGTGGCATGCCACATATAGAGGCTGCCTTGTAGCACATATGGCACACTTTTGCCATTCCTGGAATAGACTATTAACTTTCTTACTCTGTGATGTACTTCTGCACATGCCACCCCATGCTCTTTTTAGCTTCCATAGTCTGACTCCACCCAATGTACTGCCAACTACAGTTTGTAACTCGTGGACTATTTACTGACCTGGAAGTGGTTTTAGCAAAGAAATAAGCTTGTCACTAAGCTTTGGCTAATCTCTGTGGTACCCACAAAACATCCCCCCACACTTTTACCTATCATTTCTGTCCCTGTGTCCCCCCCGTCCCCGTCCCCCCCGTCTTTATGTTTCAATCCATTTGAAGCCAATTCAAGATTACTTAAAAAAAATATTAAATTACATAATTCCCTTCTCTTTCTTATTTTTAATTCCGATACATTAAAAGAAATGTAAGAATTCTGGCAAGACTTCCTTACAAATATTTTATGCTGCTTATTGTTCACTGTTTTGTTTTCTGTGGAAGTTTAGTGGTAGTTTCCGCCTTGATCTTTATGTTGTTCGTTTACTAGGACTAGAAGCTATCGTGACGGGATAGTGGTTGTCTGTATGCCATATTAATCAGTTGCGGGGTTGCAACTAATGGTGTGCACAGTGGTTTTAACTGTTGAGTTCTTGAGGGCTGAGTTTATTTTGCAGATGCAGTGTTTGAAGTATTTACCAGATATGGTGTCATGTATTCTAGGGATATACCCAGACAGGAAGTCTTTGACTAAATGATTCACAGTGAAGTGCTCCTGAGTCTCTTCTACTAGCCCAGGAGTTTTGAGGATGTTGGTGACCCAAAAGAACTTATGCTGCCCTGGCTAGGTGAATGCTATGGATTCTCTTGGATCGATCTTCCTTGGTTCCCCAGGCATTTGTGACTGGGTTGGGTTCTGGAGTCGTTCCATTTGAAGACCTCTCAGACTTCATAGCTGATTCAGACTGGGGCTGGTTTGCAGTGTTAGATGCAGGTAGAACACTAGACTGTTCCTTCAGGAGGTGCAATCAGTTTCTTATTTCTTTCTGGGTAAATTCTGGCTGTCCGATCACTTGAGCTTCTAAGGTAACCAGCTGAGTTCTATGTAAAAGCACTGGTGGCAAGGGCTTCCCTTTCCACAGAGCAGTTGGCTACAAGAGTGGTTCTTGACCTTTTTCCTAACGGGACCCAGGTGCAAAGATCCATGGCCTGTCCTGACCCATACCCCCCTGGCCCTGCTGCTGCCCAGCCCCCATCCCACTTGGAGCATGGTATTTGTGGCACCTTCTGCTCATGCAGGCAGCAGCAGCAGCGAGAATCTGGCCCTGGCACGGTCTGGAGAGAGTAGGAGGAGAGGCCTGTGGCACCCCCCTGCTCTGGGCTGGGGCTGTCACAGAGTACCAGGCAAACCTAATCAGGTCATGGCTCCTCCCATCCCCTGAGCAGCATCTCCTGACTGCCCTGTCTGCATGAGCATGAGCACTGTCCTGGTGCCACCTGCTGGACATGCAGCTTTCCTCCGCACTCCCTCTCCTCACCCCGCCCCAACCCTGCCTGGAAGGGGCAGACACCTTTCTGCCACAGCTCGCAACCCTTTGAAATATTTTTGCATCCCATGGGTTGAGAAACATTGAGCTGCAGTGCACCTTTGATTCATCCATGCTCAGGCTAAACCTCAGACTCTCTGATTTTGTCAATTTCAAAGCTCTTTCTTCTAGGCTGTTGCATGAGACTGGGTTGAAGAAGTTGGAGAAAAGCATTGTGGGGATTTTGGTGTGTTGGGAGAAAAACATCCAGGTTTCGTTTTTGAACTTATTAAATGTTATTTTAAGGTATTGTGTATGCAGCTGGAGAGGGCTTTTTTTTTTTTCTTTTTAAATGAAAGCTTAACATAGAACATTTTAGCTTTACCAGCCTTGCCAAACAGCCCTATCTTCATACCCTGCCATCTCCCACTGTTCTTGAATGTTTTCTGTGCCAACAGTAGCTGGGCTCTCTTCAGTGAAAATCTCTGTTCCTTCCTGTGCACTCAAGTCTAACCTTCCCTGGTGGTTTGTTAGTCATCAGATTATCTAGTGACGCCTGAAATGATGATGCAATTTAATATTTAAGCCTGGTTTCTTTTTTCTGATTTTTGGAATCTTAATGTTAGGTTAGCAGGGAAATTGGCTATGCGATTCAGAAGGGTTTTTCCACCCCTTTAGACTTCTACACACATCCACTGTAAAGCTAGGAGGAATCAAAACTGAAATTAGGGTAGTGTAGTGTTCAGTCAGGTTCTCAGATGAGTCTGGACATGATGTGAGTTATAAATACTACATTTCCCACCCCCTTACGCCCTCCTCCCCACCCACACATACCCCATAGATGTGTGACTGGCTATCTAATATATTTAATCTATTGCACAATGTGCACACACATGTTAGAGCCATTTGTAACACCTAATGTGAGGTGCTCTGGCAGAGTGCACTTCACTGATAAACATTTACATGGAGTGCAGTGGTTCCTGTAAAAGGAATATTTTGTAAATTTAATTTTTCAGTGTTCAAAAAGGTAAATATATTTACAGCATGGAACTGGATATTCAAAAACCTTTTCCTTTGGTTACCCCTTCATGCCAGTCCCCAGGACATGTAAGGGCTTTCTGCTCCTGCAGCAGTGACTTAGCTAATAGCATAGATAACAAAAGTAGTCCATGGGTATCTAGGCCGCCACTGCTTTCCCCATTTTATGATGGTCTAAGTTCAACATACTAGCAACAGTTGCTAGTATGAAATACAGCCTTAGAGAAGGAGACACATCATCTGGTTTCAGGAGAGCTGCCCATGACTTATTCCCCTGTTCTTTACCCCGGTGTAAATTTATCCCATTGAATGATATTTTGGGATGAGTCTCCAGCTGTGCTTCTACACTGTAGGTACACCAAGGTAAGTCTCTAGGTTGAAAGTATATACAGACTCTTTTGAAAGCATCTAATAAAAATGAGGATCCTAAGATCTGAGGTCATCAGGAATTGTGGCTGTTGAAGGCAAAAGGGTGCTGATCTGTTAGCTCTCCTGAGAGTTGCAGGAGTTCGCACGTGTGGCTGGTAGCTGGGCTTGGGGATTAGTGCATTTGTGAATAACCTTATCTAGGAAAAGATTTCCTCCCAAAGTCCTCAAATCACTGCAATTATAAATCCCAAATGTGGTGCCTGGAAATTCTTGGATAAGAGTGTCAGAACTAAAAAGAACTGGGTAATGTCTTTTGAGGTTTTCATTTCTGTACCAGCAGGGTACCTGGAGGACACAACTTCTGAAGGCAGTGTTGGAACACAATGCACTAAAAAGGCTCATCTCTGCATGTTGGAAATATTAAGAACAGGAAGAAAATAATGCCAAAAAAGAGTTCTCAGCTCTCCACATACAGGAAAAATAATTTGTTGCCAGCCAGCA